TTTCTTGAATATGCATAAAAGCATCTCTAGAGATATCTAAGAAACTGACAACAGTAGAGGACTGAGAGAAAGAGCTGGAAAGAAGACTGTACCTTGAACACTCTTTTGTAGCACTTACATTTTTAACTATGTAAATATATTACTTAGTCAAAAGTAAATGTAAAAATAATGAAACCACAACCACCATGGGAAACAAAAAAAAAAGATGAAATAAATTTTGAGGAATATGACAAAGCAAGAAAGCCAATGAATTTGGAGTAACAGATAAATTAGAGCAGAAAACATGTCAATTCAAGAAATCAGAGGGAAGAGTGGGTTTTCCCAAGGAGACACAAATCTCAGAGCATGGGTAGACTGAGAGGCAATCCTTATGATAAATCTCATAGAGTTGTGGTGGAAACACTTGGGACAGATTGATTTTTTTCTCCCTCTCTTCCTTCCCCCCATGGACCCTTTGTTTTTGTTGTTTTTTGTTTGTTTGTTTGTTTGTTTTTGTTTTATTAATTCTCATCTGAGGATATTTATCCATTAATTTTTAGATAAAGTGGAAAAGAGGGGTGGGGAGAGAGAGAGAGAGATACATCAATGTGACAGAAACACATCATTTGGTTGCCTCCCCCAGGACCCAGACTGGAGCTGAGGATTAAACCTGCAACCAAGGTACCTGTCCTTGACTGGAAACCAAACCCAAGACCCTTTGGTCCAAGGGCCGATGCTCTAACCACTAAGCAAACCATCCAGGGCCCCCATGGACCCTTTTTCAGCAGCAATGTTTGGCCTTTGCCCTCAAACTAGTTTCCTGGCGAGGGCTCTGTGCAAGGTCCTGAGACTTCCATAACATAAAGGAAAAAGAAGACAAAAGGAAAACCAGCATCAGCCAAGAGTTAAAACCTCTTCAGGGCTCCACCCCCAAAGAAAAGCCCTTCTTACTTTATCAGTTGTGGGGGTCCCTGGCCTTCCTGCCTTTCTACCCACATGACGTAAAAGGAAGCCTTCCTGTTGACAGGCTGTACGGGGTTAAGCAGAACCCACAGCCAGCCCTCCCATTCCGGAGAGAGGTTTGTGGGGGAATAGATCAACACAGTTGCAGAGGAAACCCGTGCCTTCTACCCATAAAACCTAACATCATTTTTAATTCATAAGGGTGATCAGACATTTGAGGGAAGCTATCAACATGAAAGAGAAAGACCAAAATAAATAAATAGGATTGACCCCAGAGGAAAGATAATTAAAGAAATAAAGGAAAACTTAAATATATTCTGATTTGTATCACTAGAGAGGCTAGTAGTTAGTGCTATTCTACCAGGTTAGAATGTTTTACAACTTCCCTTTCTAGCCCTTTAAAATAAAATTTAGTCATTTGGCAAAGATTTACTAATTCCTTATAGTGTGTCAGGAAGCAAGAATTCTGAATTTTTTTAATTATCTCTTTCCTCTGAAGCTAATAGTATGGAAATGTCCAGACGAGTTAATTCTGAGGTAATGTCACAAATACTGACAGATTCAGCACAGAAGAGGATACCTTGACAGCTGTGAGGAGATGTTTCACACAGGGGTGTCTCTTCAACATTAATGGATAAGAGAGGAGGGAGTCAGTATGCTCATAAGAAACAGCTTGAACAAGCACAACACATTTTAGGAAATAAGCCTCACTTGATAATGGTTGATGCCCAGGGCCGAGCATGAGTGGGTTGCAGAGATAAAGACAGACAGAAAGGTAGGTAAGGATCAGATTGTGTGCTGTGCTAATGATGGAGACTCTGTCCTCTACACAAGGGTTTTCCAGACATGGTCAGGGAAAAGACTCCTCATGAGGCCCTTTGTTCAACAAACAAAACACTGATACATTTACCTCTTTTATATGTACCGGAAATAATTTTCCTAGTAGAAACTATGACTGTGTTCTAGGTTATCAATATAAAATCACAACCACAAGCAGATTCATTAACATCAAAAACAATCAGTTGAAGTATAATCCTTTTTTTTTTAAGTTTCCCCTTGATACTAATTTGCTGCAGATCAATCACTAGATAGAAGAAATGCAGTAGTAGAAAAGACTGACAGAGATTTCAAAAAAAATTGTGCAAGAAAAACTAAAAATTGAAACCATCTAATTCATTAATTTCTTTCTTTCTGTGAACTAAGAAAAAGATGGTCAATATTTTCCTTTGGCTGCAAATACTTTCATGCACTCCATAGATCTACAAATTTCTTGGTAACTAATTTTAAAAATCACTCTGGATGCCTTAAGCAGCTGAAGATTTTTAAGGGGGCCCAACACCAGTACCAAGCCATTCCTTGTTGGCGCAGAGGCAGGTATTAGAGGTCCTGACACAAAGGATATTTGATACAGAATCAGAAATCAGAAAATAAAGTTTGGAAGCTGGAAAGGTAGCCAGTTATTGTGTCAAGCTAGAAAACCAGGCAGAAGATGAATGGGAGAAAAAGGAGGCTTCAAGAATCATAGTGCAGCCTGTTAATTCACATTAAACATGTCAGGGCACTCTGTAAATCTGCTTCCCTGGGTCTGGTGCAGAGTCTGAGGGCTCAGATCAAATTAGATAATATGGTCAGTTATAAGAATTAGAATTAACATTCTGCTGGAACTATGGAGGATGGATATGGTAGGGCCAAATGGAAGCAAGGAGATAAAACAGGAGAGTACAGTCTGGTAATCTAGAAGACTGTGGATATGGGCCTGGACTAGGACGTTGACAGGAAAGATGGAAAAAAAGTGGTGGCAATCAAGATGCTTTGGGAAGGAAGAAGCCACTGGGGGATAATCTGAGCGAGAGAGAGAGAGGAATTATAGATGATTCCCAGGTCTCGGACCTGAACAATTAGGTGGGTGTAGTAGTACCACTCACTGAGATAGGAAGACCCTTGAGGGAGAACAGATTGGGCTTGGAAGTGGAATGGGGAACTGAGTTATGTTTTGAATAGGCAAAATATGAGGTGTCTTTGACATATCCAAGTAGAAATATTCAGAGGTAGCCATACTTAAAAATCAAGTTCAGAGCTACGGTTATAGATTTGGGATTTGTCACAATGAAGGTGGTACTGAGAACTCTATAAACATGGATGGGACTCACCCAAGGGAAATATGTAGCATTAGAAGAGAGGAGAAGGGAGGACAGGTGAGGACAGTTGAATGAGGATAGAAATACCAAAGTTTTAAAAGATACTAAGAAAGGAAAAGAAAGAACCCATAAAAAAGTTTTCTGAGAGGCAAGAGGGAAAAGTTTTCAGAAGGATGACAACAGAATAATTGATCAACAGACTAATAGAAAAGTCACTAAAAATGAACTCTAGAAATAATTTGGCCCAAACTATTAAACTAATAATGGTGGGAGTAGCTCCAGGGGAATATTGTGAGCAGAAATCAGACTGAAGGAAGCTGGAGATCAAGAAGTAGAGGCAGGGAGATTGGACAACCTTTTTTCAAAGTTGGTCACATGAACAAAGCCTCACATTGCATCTCTGTGGTCCCTTCAGCTGATCTTTTCAGAGTCCTTGCAGCTCTGGCATTCTGTCATTGTATGAAACTGGCTTTGGAGAAGTCCTCGAGCCCATTTTCGGCTCTGGTGATAATTTTCCTTTAGTGGAACAAAGGTTACTTGTCTAAGAACCATAGCCTCTTACTTGACTGATCAAAGTTTATCACGTGCAATGAAGCTACCTACTTGGCAGATGTAGTGAAAAGCTACACAGATCTGGGCCCAGGACAGGATGCTGGGGCGTGGGAGGGGAAGAGAGCAGGTGCTAACTCTACAGATAGCATGCCTATCAGAGCAATTTGTTACATTTCCTATTTGTCTCTGAAAACAATTTTATAGGAATCACCAAAGCAATCTTGTCATGGTTTCTAGACCAGGTTGGGATATGGGGTAGAGATTTTCACAGCTGCTTTCACTTTGAAGGCAATCTAATAAGGCTATGCAAAAGCCATTCAGAAATACATAATTCTACATACATCAATGATTGAATTTATTAACAAAACTTTTTTTATGTTGTTATTGTTCTTTTCTTTTCTTTTCTTTTTTTCACTAGTATGTAAGCAGCTGACAATTATTTGCAAAACTCATACCTTAGGCTAAACAAATTCTTTTAAAAATTCAGGATGAAAGTTGTTTGTCTATTGTTCACAACAACCTATAGGATAGGCAGGGGAGATGCAACTGCCCCCTTTGGATATGAGGAAGCTGAGGTCTAGAGAGGCAAAGTTATTTGCCCAAGGTCCATAGAAATTTATCGGTAGAGCAAGGACTAGAATTCAGTTATAATAACTGCAGCCTATTTCCCCTTTTTGAACAGTTACATTGGCATCGGCAATGATCTAATGGATTGGAACAGTGTAGACAGGCAATTTGGCTAAGTCAAGATAATATTCCTACTTTAACCTCAATCGCAGAGTTTGGGCCTGATTTCCCTCAAGACCCTACTTCTTTTGACTTTTGAGAAATGTATTTGTCTTGAATTATCTCTCCAGCTAAATTTTATTTAATAATTGTCATTGCCTTTGTTTGTTTTATGCAACGTAGTGTTGACTTGAAAAACTGCCAGGATTTTGTTGGGTTTAAAGATTAAAGAAGTCCTTAGAAGCAATTAGCTAGTGACACCCCAGTCATAAAATCAATCCAAACTTTTGTTGACATTTAGTTCTTTCCCTATATACCAGGTTCCTGCTTTACATTAGTAAGAGCGAAAATGAAATATGTCTGTTGCTGGTGGATTAATTTATCACTTTCCTTGAAACTGGTGGACCCAAAAAGTTAGCAATAGGAAAATACTACCGTTGTCTGTTGAGAAGATTATGACATTTCAAGGCAAGAATGAATGTATGGAAGAAGAAACACGTTTCTTCTTTACTAACAAAAGGGAAAGCCTGGAAGTGAATGATATGGGTATAATTTAAGAGAAAAAAAAAAACACAAACAAACAAAAAAAACCTTTACGTAACTTTTTTTGCTGGGAGAGAAGACTACTAAGCACATTTTCCAGGAAGTGTGGGCTGCGACGATTGTATGCTCTTAACTAATCCTGAGTAAGGTGGCCACTTTGACAGTCTTCTCATGCTGCCTTTGCCACCTTTTCGGTCAGAAGATATTTCAACTTTAACACAGCATGATTGAAACATACTGCCAACCTTCTCCCAGATCTGTTACCAGTGGACTACCCATCAGTATGAAAATTTTTATGTATTTACTTACTGTTTTTCTTATCACCCAGATGATTGGGTCCGCACTTTTTGCCGTGTATCTTCACCGAAGATTGGACAAGGTAAGATGAAGTCTTTGTTAACTAAATTTGGGGTCCTTATTAACTTCTGGGTTGGTTGGTTTAGCTTTACCCAAATGATAGACAATGGTAGGAACCCAAACTGATAAACGGTCTTGTGGCATAATGTCTGTTGTCTAGTTAGTGAAGTCTCCTATTCTTGTCTCTGGTTAAGAGCTTGGGGTCTGTAGTCAGACTGCCTGTGTTCAAATCTTGACTCTGCCCTCTACTAGTTCTGTGAGCCTAGGCAAGTTATTTTACATGTCTATGCCTCAGTTTCCACATCTGAGAAATGGGAGTAATAATGGTATGCACCCCATTGATTAAATAAATTTAGCCTTGTAACGAGCTTAGAACAAAGCCTGGCACAAAGTAAGCACTATGTAGGCATGAAGTATAATTATTTACTGAAGTTTTGTTTAAAAAGTAAACTTTATCATAGAGACAAGTTTTTTTCTTTTAAAATTTCCAACTAGAGAAGGAGAACATCAGTTTGATCTCAAATTTCATAGTGCTTCAGAATAGCATAGACATGGATAAATCCTAAAATTTGTCTCTTAGTAAAAGTGCCGTTCTCTGTATAATTAGTCAAATGTTAATTGTAGTTGCAAGCTGCCCTGTTTCCCTCTAAATTGTTTTATATTATTTGATTAGACTTACAAGGAAAAAAAGTAACTTAGCAGGTTGTTTTGCAGTTGTAGGAAATGATAACCATTAGGATTTATTCTGTTTTAATGTGCTTACCCACTTCCACTGAGGGGCATTACTGGCTGTGCTGACAAAATATAAATCATAGATGAAAAGGAGAAATTTCATTAATTATCTGTCCATTCCTAAAAGTTTGGATGTGAGAATTATGGATCTACAGTATCTGGATACTGTATTTTCTCAGGGCTGTTTAAATGTCCTTTATTGGGATGGCAACCTAGAATTAAGGTCATGCAGTATTCTATCAGAATAAAGTGGCGCAGTGATGGTTGAGGCAATTCAACGGGTTACTCAAATTTTAGCTGTCACTGCTGAGAAAAGAGGGGTCAGTTCTGGGTCTGGTTGGTTGTGTTTAGCCTGATGGGCTATGCCAATCAAAGCATGGACATAAGCCTAGCCTCTACAGGGAAAATATTGACCTGGGGAGACTCAAATTTACCATAGAATTTAGGTGTGTTCTTTTTTTTTTTTTTATCCTCACCCAAGGGCATTTTTCCATTTTTTGTTCAGGTAGAGTGGGAGGGAGAGAGAGGAACAGAGAGAGAGAGAGAGAAACATCGACGTGAAAGGAACACATCGAGTGGCTGCCACCCGCACGACCGACCAGGGCCGGGGACAAACTGCAACCGAGCTACGTGCCCTTAGCGGGAACCGAACCCAGGTCTCTCTGGACCGCAGGCCGACGCTCTAACCGCTGAGCCAAACCGGCCAGGGCTAGGTGTGTTCTTAATATCAATGAAAGCCACTGGCTAACTTCATCTTGTTTTGAATACAAATATTGAATCTTAAAACAAGAAAACAGCAGAGAATTAGTTGATTACACAAGTGAATTCCATACATTTAATTATTCTAAGACATTGGGTAAATATCTTGTTAACTTTGGAAATGAGAGATGATTTCTTTAAAAATTCAAATGTTTTCTGCAAATAATAAAGTTAAAAAGATAAAGATGTAATTAGAACTTGAGTGAATTGATACACATTGCAAATTAATGTCTTCATCACAAACACTAAAATGAAGTGGGAATATTTGCTCAGCAGAAAACTATTTTGTAGACTGTTTATAGCAAGCAGTCATCACTGGAGCAATGGGAAGTATGATAATTATAGAATGTTGCTGCTATAGTACATTTAAAAATGTATGCTTTGTGATAAAATTGTATTGGAATAGCTTTGATTTCCACCTAGAGTTTCAGATAATATGACATTTTAGTTGCTTTCTTCTGTACATTTTTTAATTGCTAATACCAAATATCAATAATCCAGAGTAATTTTTTATTCTTCATGTATATATGCAAAGCCCTCTTTTCTATTGTTGATGTGGTGGAAATGAATGTAGAGGCAGACATCATCAGTGCCATCCTCTATCAGAATTACATTTCTCATGCCCCTGTTATTTCACAAATAGATAGAAGATGAAAGAAATCTTCATGAAGATTTTGTGTTCATGAAAATGATTCAGATGTGTAACAAAGGAGAGCGGTCCTTATCCTTACTGAATTGTGAGAAGATCAGAAGCCAGTTTGAAGCCTTTGTCAAGGTAAGGAGCTCATTTGTTGGTAAAAGTGTCATTGAAAAATATAGTATTTCTGCTGGGAAACTGATAACGGACAATGTAAAAGTTTAAACATTTGTTATTTATACATACATAGGCATGTGTATCCAAAAAAAGGAAAAAATGAAACCAAAATCCTATGTTTAAAGGGTATGGAAAGTTAGAAGTGTGCGTTCATAGGAATGTTCTTGAGAAGAACAAAAAAGACTCAGGGAAAAAAACATACTCTCATGGGCACATTCACACATAGACATGAGCTCAAGCATGCAGCTGCCTCTGGAAAAATTTTGAAGTAAACCAATTTTGCTTTTTGCATTTTATTATCTTCCCATCCAAACCATGATGACCTCTCACTGAATACCCATTTCCCAGGGAAGTAATAACCATTTCTGCTGCAGTGTTGGCAGGCCACAGATTGAGGCATTGCCTTTACTGGGTATTGTAGGGACTTTTAAAGACTGATACATTCTCACATATGAAAGACTGCTTCTCTTATGATGGAATTTCAGGTGCCATGAAAGTGAGATAGTTTTCTTTTATTGTGAGGAATGGTATGGAGAATGGATGATGGACCTTCTCAGTACTGCTCAAAGCAGACACCATATAACACTACTCGCTCATGAAGCCAGTTCACTCTAGGGTTGATCAAGACCTGGGGCAGAGATAGTTTGAAGATTTCTAGCCCAACAGGCTGGTACCCAGCATGAAGTCATATAATTAGTACTTAAACAAGAAAATTTTAGAATGTTTATTGCGGATGTATCTACAACATTAATTCCATCCTCATGACAAGGTATCTAAGAGTTCTTTCTCCTGAAGCAGAACATCAAAAAGTCTTCCCACCTATTTTCCTTTCAGAACACTGAGTCATATACCTTTGGCCCTCAGCCCACTTTGGGGTCATGAATAAGAGATAATACTCCACATTTAGGGCAGCTCTCTGCCAGGTGGGTGAGTAGCCGGGTAAATCAAGAGGAATTAGTTCTCATATATAGATAATGTGTGATTTAATCTGGGATAGAAAAGCTTAAGAATTTATTTCTGAACTTAATCCTTTCCTTCTATACTGTCCCTGATTTGTCATTTAACCCAGTAGTGAAGACTCTAAGACCTTCTTTATTCTTGAGCCACCTAAGGGAATCAGAATGCAGCTCAAATATGTTGCTGGCTTTTAGGTTCTTTATGATAATCCAGGTTTTAGATGAAGACTCCTAACTTTATATTTGCAAAGTGTGGAAATGATTTTAATTTCTCTGCTTCTTTGAGGTTTCTGGCCAGTATTACAGGGTATTGGGATGTGTTGCAAATTTCAATGTAAATAAAGCCACTTTCAGAACAACGGTTAATAATCTCAATAACATATATAATGTGCTTAGCTGCAAGACCTTGGGCAAATGATTTCACTTCTCTAGACTTCAGTTTTCTCATCTATAAAATGAGAGGGCTGAGATTATCTGTAAGGGCACTACTAATTTTTACATTCTGTAATTATGTGATCAGCCTTCAGTTATCTCCAAAAGCAGTGAGAGTGGCTGTTGCTTTTTATCTCTTTTTCTTTTTATTACTGCAAATTCCTCATGGCTTTATTTCAGGTCACATATGTAAAGCTTCCCAAATTAGCTACCCAGGATAGAAGTAAGGAAAACAGCTTATTTGGCCTCTTTGTTTATGCTTGCATAAAAAAACAACAGCTCCAAAGTTTCATATTCTAAATAGGCAAAACCTCTCAGGCATGTTAACTAGGGCTCCTTACGTGCAACAGAGGAAGCCCCTTACCTCTACTGCAGTAGGGTGGAATCCATGTCAATGTCATCTGTACCTATAATATGCATGATGGTAAGACACAAAATCCTCCAAATATCCAGTCCTCTTCCAATGACTTAACCCCTCTCCAATATCCATCCACCCAAATTTCTCATTCTAAAGTGATATTTTTGACTTTTTAAAAGCTAACGGGTCAGCTACATAATAATTCTAAATTAAACTTTTATATTCTAGCTAACATTAGTAGTGTTTCTTTCTGGGTCACAGTCTTACTGGTCCAGAGCAACCGAGAGTTTGAATTTCGGGGCTTTGAATCACAGAACTTGAAGAGGTCTTAGAAATCACCAGATATAATTATCAATGCAGAACTTTAGTTTTCTCTTCACAATCCCTACAAAGTTGTCCCCCAATCTCTGTTTGAACACTTCAAATAACAAGGAATTCATTATCTATCTCTTGAGGCAAGTAGTACCAACTTGTCACTTTGGGGAGAAGATAGAATTTTGGGATTATGTTAGGGTAAGTGGAGGCAGCATTGTGAATAATGTAATTTCACATTAAAACTTACTACTCACCTTACACTGTACTACAATGATTAATTCCATGATTGTCTGCCCAACAATTACTGAGATGTCTTTGATAGGGTCAAAGCATTCCTTTATAAATTAAAGGTTAATCTGTCCATACCTGCTACAGGAGTTCCCACTGAGAGAGAAATAAGTAATTCCAGTGTTTCTGAAACTCAGCTTCAGTTGAGGTGGGGAGTAAAGCAAGAAGAAAGGCTCTGGGGAGTGTGGCTGGGGAAAAGTTCACAGAAAGGCAAGGTTGGGTGCATAAACTATGCTGACTTCACATTTTTATCTTGGCTAGGCTCTGACACCAATGCAACCACCTATCTTGAAAGTATCTCAACCTTGATCATCACACTCCATTTTTTGAAAGACACTAAATACTCATTTGTTTACTTGTTATCTCACAAACATTTTCCTGTTGCCGCACTTTCGCAGTGCCACACTACAGCTCAAGTGGAAAGTTTAGGCCCATGTGAGCATTTCAAGGTGCAGGTTCTTTTTTTTTTTTTTTTTTTTAATTGATTTTAGAGAGGGAAAAAGGGAGAGAGAGAAAAACATCTATGTGAGAGAAACACTGATCAGTTGCCTCCCGTATGCACCCCAACCAGGGATTGAACCCACAACCTAGGTATATGCCCTGGGAATCAAACCTGTGACCTTCTGGTGCATGGATGACACTCCAACCAATTGAGCAACACTGCCAGGATGAAGTGCAGATTTTTAGGCTCTGTGACTTACACCCTCACATCTGGCAACTGAGCTGACTCTACAAGAAGACACTCAATAGTCACAACACCAATTCTTTCTAGGGAAGGAATGAAAAGGAAGGGTCCTGTAAAAACTGATTCTAGTAATGGGAAGGAGCACAAGACTTTGATTATCACAAGATGTGAAAATACTACTGTCTTCCTCTCTTGTGTTCAGAGCACAGGGTGATGGTGTGAATTAAGACGGGCCTATGAATGGGATCTCACAGTTTCAACTCTTCGCTTCAGCCTCAGACTCTTTGGGTGACCTTATGCCAGCCAAGTTATACCCTCCAGGCCTTTTATTCAGTATCTTTAAAATGGCAGTAGTACCCTTTATTATCTTCTGACCTGTGTTGATTGACATTCCTGCTAGCTTCTTTGAATACTTCTAACTTTCCTTCAGTTACTAAGTGGGAAGAGACCCCTGAAGAAGAATTGTATTTCCCTTTGAACATCAGAAGCATTGGGAGATTGCCTGTATTTCATATATATAAACTATGTTTCACTCACTCACAACTGTAAACCTATTTTTGCCCACCCCTCCTGTATTTAGTATATATATAGTACAGAGGTGGGCAAAAGTAGGTTAATATTCTTGTATTGTTTATTAATTATTATATTATTTATTTACATTACTGTAAACCTACTTTTTCCCACCCTTGTAAATGTAGGCCACACAAGGGCACACAAACAGCAACAAGAGAAAGATAATAAAATAAAAAAAGTCTGAGGGTCTTTTCTGGGATTTCTTTTCATGATAAAAGTTACTGTTACCATTTTCTGAGGGATTTCAGACATATTTTATTCTAATAGATACACACCATGCTTTATGTTTAATAATTTTCTATATACCAGTTCCCAGGGTTGAATCTTCTCCCCATTCAGCATTGTTTGTCAATACCTGTCAAAACCAGGGAGGTTGGGGTCATAGGAAAAGTCAGTATCATAGCCTCTGATCTAGAGAGTGCTGGAATGTCAATAATGAAGCCTAGACTCTGCTTCCAGGTCTATACCTGGGCTTTCTGGGTTGTCAGCTCATCTGTCAGTATGATGGAATTAATTACAGGATTTGAGTCTATATTATAATCCTCACCAGAAACAGGCAACAGAGCAAAGATCGATGCCAAACATATGGTACCTCTAAAACCCCACAGAAGAGTTCCTGTCAAAATGATCTTTTGCAATGATTCTTATTTCAGGATATAATGGGAAATGAAGTGAAGGAGAAAGAAAAAAACTTTCAACCGCAAAAAGGTAGGTTGCTATTTACCAATTTCCATGCATAGTTGAAAACTAATACAACCCAGTGTTGTATCGGGGAACGTTTAGCCCTGGAAATAAAATGGGAACACAATTGTCTGGGTTCCTTTACTGCTGACAATACGTGTATGAAGAAATTCCATTATTTTTAGTACCTTAATCAAAGCAACCATACAGCCTAGTACCACCTACAGAGGATAAGATGATAAGAAAATCGTCATTTGGCAGCAGCGGCATTCACTGCTCAATAACAGTTTTTCATGGGGAACCATAGCTAGTGGAGCTTCTGGAATCAAAGAATGAGTCAATGTGACAATATTCTATTATTTGCCCTGTTCTTGATGTGACAGTATCTGGAACGTCTCATGGTTGGAAGGGGTCTTAATGCTTCTCAAATCCAACACCTTGCCCGGGGCATGAATCTCCTTCAGAACAACAATGACCCTATGGCCGTTGATTGAACATGCCTAGGCAACTTCTATCTCAAAAAGCAGGCTGGTCCATCTTTGAATGCAATCATGGGAGCCTTTTCTTCTCCAGGGTAAACCTCCCCAGTACCTTCCACTCTTCCTCCTATGACCCTTGCCAGACCCTTTCCTTTCCTAGTTACCTCCTTTTCTGGATGACACCTTAACTGTCCCTGTTCCTTTTAGACTGTAGTACACTAAACCAAACACAATAATACCTTGAGTAACCTGAGTAGCTGAGTATGGGAAAGATGAAGTGTTGGTAGATGGATGTTTTTAGAGAGACTATTATATCCTAATGTCAGTGAAAATGATGCTATAGGGTTTGTAAATTTAATACACACAAATACATATACACATACAGTACATACAGAAATACAGATACTGTTTTCTGAGGCCAACATCTTGCTTTAACTATTTGTCTAGATGCAAAGGGTGAACTGATTTCCATGAAGGTTTTGTCTTCACAATGACTGTAAAATATGTTGAGTGGAACCATGTTATCTGTTAATTACAGTGAAATGTAAGGAAACAGTATATGTGGAGGCTGAAGTTTATCATACAAACTGCCTAGCAGTATGCAGCAAAGCAAAAACTTAACAAAACTTGTAATTTAGGTAATGCAATTTGACTCAATATGTATAGGGCACCCATAAAGAGTCCAACACTAGGGTCATTACTGGAAAAAAAAGAGAATTCCACACAGTCTTTGGACTTAGGAGAGTAACACATCTAATTAAGAAGCGAACCTTTAACATGAGAAACAATTAGAGGCAGATACAATAGATTGGCCAAATCAGGCACTATAAGCACCTTAGTAGCTAATTGTGCAGACATGATCTTGGGGCCCACTAAGAATCCCAATGGATGGAAGTTGTTCCTAAAAGCAAGGTTCAAAGTATGTTTAATGTAGAAGAGTATTTTTAAAATATATTTTTATTGATTTTTTTTTTTTTTTAGAGATAGAGGAAAGGAGAGAGAGATAGAAACATCAATGTGATCAATGTGAGAGGAAACATATATTGGCTGCCTCCTTCACTCCCTCTACTGGGGATCAAGCCCACAACCCAGGGATGTGACCTGACCTGGAATTGTACTGGGACCTCTCAGTCCATGGGACAATGCTCAATCCCCTGAGCCACACCGGCTGAACTAGACCAGTATTTTTAGCCTGTGTCAATCGATGTAAAGTGGAGTTGAGTACTGAACAACTATAAGAAAAATAGGATCAGTGGAAATACCAATTCAATTGTTCAGATTTTAGAAACCAACTTTTCCCTCTGTGAGACAGATTTCAGACCATTTTATTCTTATTTTACATACCCTATTTAAACATAGTCTCTATTACACAGATGTAGAACTGGACTAAATGGTTCAGTGGAACAGTTTTTGTTACTGTGGTCTGACAGTTTGCTTTTGGTTTCATTTCAGGTGATCAAGATCCTCAAATTGCAGCACATGTCATAAGTGAGGCCAGTAGTAAAACAGCATCTGGTAAGTACAAAAGCATCTATCTGAGTATCAACCACCCAGGGGGGAAGGCAGCCTAATGATTAGGTTCCTTTCTTCCTTTGGGGACTAATTTACAAGTCTACCATACACCTTTCACGTGCTCTCCTTTGTCTTCAATATAAGCTCAAATGTACAGATGGGACTTGAAGGGACAAAAAGAGGTGGGAAGCAATCTCAATGTTCTTATTATGTCCTTGCTCAATGGTTGATTCTAAATGATGAATTACTGGGTGGAGAGACCATTATTCTGACAACATAGAAGAGATGGCAGGTGATGACCTCCTGACTGGGGACATCCCTCATCCTAACCCCTCTTCACTGTGTGTAAATGGGCCTCAGGGGGTATTTCCTGCCCTCTGTCAACTCCTGTATGATGAACTCAGCCTCACTGTGGCCCACCTCAATAAAATTAAAGGTAAAACCATTCTGCAAAGATCAGTAGGTGCCAGGATGTTAGATTTTCCAGTGAAGTAACAACAGATGACATACTGTAATCTTTTCAACTCTGAATAATTTTATTTCCATATATGTTCTGCCATTGTTCTACCCTTTAGATCTTTTATTTCCCAGATCTGTACCTCCTGATAGCTGGTGCTGGAGAATGTGTTGCATCTGATAATTGGATGGAAACACATACACTAGCATAAAATCCCCCATTTACATAAATGCTGTCTGAGTGCATCAGAGCAGTCTTAAAAAGCTCAACACAGTGCTATGGAATGGAGAGAGAGAGAGAGAGAGAGAGAGAGAGAGAGAGAGAGAGAATGAGAGAGAGAGATGAAGAAGAAGAAGGAGGAGGAGAAGGAGAAAGGAGAGTGGAAGAGGGGAGGAAGAAGAGAGGGGAGGGGAAGAGAGACAGCTTCGTCTCTGAGTGGGGTTTGGGTTTCTTAGTGTGTATACATGGTTATCATGTATCATAGTATGGGAGTAAGAGCACTGGACAGGGGAGTTTTGAACACTGAGGTTCAAGAACCATGACTATCACTTGCTGGGTGGCCTTGGGCAAGTCCCTTTACCTACACAGCAATTTCCTGCCTCATTTCACAGAGTGACTCTGAGTATCAGATCAGCTATTGTGGAAGAAAGTTATACTGTCAAGTGTTATACAGATAGGAGGTGACATTACTTAGCTTTCTTCGCTGTAATTTAGATGTCACAAGAATGACATAAAGTCCTTAATTAATACCAGTATTACTACAATATTTAATAATTCTTCCAAGTACCCCTTTCTCAGAAAAAAACATTTATAGGAGAATATCACGACTATATTAGCATGTCCAGGGTGGCCATCCACATGACTCCTTCTCATTCAGATTGGATAAGAGCAACAGAGACACCTTCTCAAAAATAGTTTTCCATTGATCATTTGTATATAAATCCTTGTACTTGAGTATATTTAATGATGTCCAGGTTCTGCCAAAAGGCCCATTATTGATATTGGTCCTAGTATATTTTACAGTCTGCATCACGGTAGGTTTGCAGGGCATCAGGTGGGAAGATAGTAACATTCCTCACCCATCCTAGTCCCAAACCCCTCATTCTTACCTGGTCATGCTGGTACAGACAGCATGACCTACATCCCACAGCAATGCTGAAAATTAGGTAAGACTTACAAAAATAATCCTAGTGGACTAAAAGATAGGGAACCTGCACTTGTTTTCTCAGTTGGTCCAAAAGTGAAAAGTATAATAAAGTGTCATTTCTGGAATGGTCTGGAGGGCCAAGAATTGTCAGACATTTTATGTGCTTTTTCTATTACTAAAGGATGAGTCTTAAAAGGTTGGATATTGCAATCTGATAGGCCTAAGACTACCATATAGGACTTTTTTAAAGCTCAAGGAAGTAAATGTATCAATACTTTCACTTCTCCCCAACCCACACCTCAGCAATCTAGCTCTCTGTGGGAGCTGAGATTTGAAATTGAGTGCACACACTACTTTGAACCCACTCAACATCTCAGCTGAGAAAATGGCACACTGTTGGTGGGTACTCCGGTTTACCCACAAGAATGCAAGTACTTTCAAGTTGGTGGCACCCACTACAATGGGAGATCAAAACACAGTGAAATGACAGGTTTATTTTCATACTTCCTTGCCTAATTTTAGTCCTTACTGTGGGAGGCAGGTCAGGTTTGCAACAGCTTGATCAGGTAGGAAGAAATGGGGTCTTTCTTTTTCTCTGTGCTGAGGCTGAGATAGGTGGACCAGCAACTCTTTGACTTTGTAAACTTTAAAGAAAGGAAGAAATCAGCAAGGATTTTGCTTGACTATTTTAACATGCATAATTTATGACGTGGACTTTTGAAATTATTCACATTTTCTTAAGTTTGAGGACAAATTGGCTGTAAGAATTCTAAAGGAAGAAGGAAACTCACTGTGCTCTGTTATTTTATTTAATCTTCACAAGTCTCTGAAATGTGCTATAGTATTAGCCCAGTGTTGCAGGTGAGAAACTGAAACTCAGAGCTTGACTTACCTGAGCTTGAATAAAGCTTGAACTGGAACCCAGCTTCATTTGACTATGAAGCCCATGCTAATTTGTCAGCAATAGCCCCAAATTTCTATTCATTTATGAAGCTAGTGTCAACATTAAACTATATTTTGTTAGAATGTGAACCATGCTATGCTTCACCTCACCACAGATTTTTCTCCTCTCCATTACAGTTCTACAGTGGGCCCAAAAAGGATACTACACCATGAGCAACAATTTGGTAACTCTTGAAAATGGGAAACAACTGGCTGTTAAAAGACAAGGACTCTATTATATCTATGCCCAAGTCACCTTCTGTTCCAGTCAGGATGCTTCAAGTCAAACTCCATTTATAGCCAGCCTCTGCCTGAGGTCCATGAGTGGATCTGAGAGAATCTTACTTAGAGCCGCAAATACCCACAGTTCCTCCAAACCTTGCGGGCAACAATCTATTCACTTGGGAGGAGTATTTGAATTGCAACCAGGTGCTTCAGTGTTTGTCAACGTGACTGATCCAATTCAAGTGAGCCATGGGACCGGCTTCACATCTTTTGGCTTACTCAAACTCTGAACAGTGTAACCTCGCAGGCTGCCACTGAGCTGATGCTGGCAGTCTTTATAATACAGCAAAGCAGTTAAGACCACCCCCTGTTGAACTGCCTATTTATAACCCTAGGATCTTCCTCATGGAGAACTATTTATTATACATCCCAAGGCATGTAGGGCTGCAATAAGTGAATTATGGGGCGGGTGAAACCCAAAGAGGCCCTGTTCCCTAAGAGCTTATATTCTGAATCAGCAACCCAACTGATACAGACACCCAGAGATTCCTATGAAAAAACAAGGCCATTAGGCACAGATTGAATTCTGAGTAAACAGCAGATTATTATCCAAATTTAGGTGTGTTTTTTCCATGCAATGTCTTTTAGTGGATAATGTATTTGACTTATCAGTGAAGATACAAAAGGAAAACAAGGAGCCTCAGCTCACATTTAGTTATACGGTTGATTCTGGGTCCCTGTATCACCGATGAAGGGGACAGGCTCTAGAAAGTCTAATGCAGTGGAGAACTAAAAAACCCTGCCCCCTCCCCCACAACAGCCACCCTGACACTCATTTTCTCTCTCTTTGCCCTTCACACACACACACACACACACACACACACACACAGTGTCAGGCTGTTGCTCATCAGTTATTTTATTTCAACCTTGTCACTATCTCCACCACTGTAGATGAAAAGGGGAGCAGAGAGAGCAGCTCTGAGCCTGCCCACTCCTACTCAAAAAATGACTATATTTAAATGAAATCTATTGTATCTACCTGCAGTCTCCATTGTTTCCAGAGTGAACTTGACATTATCTTGTTATTTATTTTTTGAATAATAAAAATCCCTTAACATTATTGTTGTTATTTAGCACCTAAAGCTTAGGCCATGTTTGGGGAGAAGGAATCATTTGGAAGGAATTTTCCCAACCTTTGTGCTGTGTTCATAAACTAGATAAAATTTGGCTTATCAAAGCTTGTTGCACCATAAAATATCTTGGTGACAGCATACTCCTGGAAGTCAGTGATAGCCTTTGATGAATGACATGGAAGCTTACTCAGTGAAAAACAATATTTATTTCCAGTTTTCTCTGAAAAGATTGCAGGGGATTAAAGAGATATTTTTTTTATTTTTTTATTTTTTTATTAATCATGGCTAAGTGAAGCTGGAGGGAGAGCCTTAAATGAGAAGCAGTCGCTTATCATTTTAGTAGCTGTCTAGGCAGTTCTACCTTAGACAAGAGGAAATGGAGCTGGGACAGCCCGAGGGGAAGTATCAGCCCCTCAGTCTTCTACTGAAACCAGGGGGGGGGGGGCTATGTCTTATCACTGCCAACTGAGGGATTTTCATGTAAGGAACCCAGAGTAAGCTTTTTGTCTCTACTGGTAGAGTGCATTGCTTAAGATAAACACCATGTGTTCAAGCAGAAAAATATTACTGTAGGAAAAAGAAAGCAGAGTGAGGAGTGGTGGGTCATCTCTTAGCCACTGCCTCTGCTCTTCAGTCCTGTGGACCACATAGTCCCTTCTTGTCTGAGTGACTTTGAAGACCTTGGAGCATGACTTTCTAACACAAGGCTGAAATCATGCTAGACAAACTTGCCTGGCTACATACTTTTTTCAGTGAGAAAACTTTAGTATAAGCAGGGGTAACATTTGTTGATTCAGGGATCACTTAGAAATATGTTCACAGTTGGGATGGACAGGACACATTCCCTCTTTAGTAGGGTTTATAGGAAGAGAATACAGGTACAGCCTGAACAAGTCTTTTATGGTCTTTATATACTCACATCCTCTGTTCTAAATATTGTCTCTGTACTTTAACCCACTTTCTTTGAAAATAATTATCATCAGACAATCTCTACCTGTAAAAACCAAGCTGGGAACAATATCTGTTTTCAGAAGGAATGCTATCGATACAAAAAACACCTTTTCCAGACTATGTCTTCTGTTCTCATGCTATTTACCACCTTCTAAATGCCATCTGCTATAGCTCCAGCCCAGAATTTGCCCCTAAGCTTTAGCCTCAAATAGCCAACTGCCTTTAGCCTCTCAGACCACTTTCTCATGAGGTCACTTTGCCCTTCCCAAGAACTCCAAGTCTCATCCTTCCCCCTTTTCTCTTCCTGTGATACATGATCACAGTGGGTTCTCTCCCCCTACCCCTTCCTGTATTTAACTACCATCTTCATGCTACTAATGTTACAAATTTAGTCCTGACCTAACCCCTGGAGCTGTCTCTAACTGCCTAAATCTCCAGATGGTGGGCCTAGGCCCTCAAACCCAACACATCCAAATGGAACTCTTGATCTTTCGCCCTACATGATGGGATGTACTTTCAGTACTTCCCATTTCAGTTAATGATGGCCTCATCTACCCTGTTTCCCAAGCCAGAAACCTAATGTGACTTCTCACTGTCCTCACTCCCAAAGCCAATCCCATCAGTCTATGTACATCAACCATATTTCTTAAATAATTACATTAATCTACTTCTTCCTATCTCAGCTGTTAGTACCCTAGTCCAAACTACTGTCATCTCTCTTCTGGAATACTACAACAGCCTCCTAGACTCTCTGTCTCCTCTCTTGTTCCCTCTCATCCATTCTTCACACACAGCCAGAGTTAATTCTTTAAACAGAATTCTAATTTCACTATTCCCCTGTTTCTTATTGACCTTAGAATAATGACCAAAATAACTTATTTCATCTCCTGCCAATATGTCTCTCAGTGTCTTAAGTTCTAACCCTTAGTTCCTCAAAGTAAGGCTACAGATGCTTTCTTTCCTGCCTTAGGATCCAGGCATGCTGTTTTATTTTCTTGTAACACCCATTACTTTCCCCCACCATGCCCTGTACTTTAACTTCACAGCACTTACCACGGGTGAGGTTTTTCCTACTATGTTGTGAGTTTCTTGAGGACCAAAACCTTGTCCCATTCACCAAGCTACCAGTACAGGACACCCAAGTTAAAGGCAACTTCAGTATCTACTACAGGGCCTGGCATAGAATTGGCCCTTTATTCATTGCATAAAAAAGTGAATGAATGAATGAATGAATGTGCTTATAACACAGAAAAAATTTGCAATACTGTATAAACTTTCATTATGTCAAAAACGTTTATGATAAAAATGTACTCAGGGACTGAAAATTATATACAAAAATAGATGATATACTTTTTATATTTTACAGTAACTTGCAAAATTACACATGATGTTTGCTTCAAACTTCACTTGAACATTTTCAAAATTGTTCTAATAAATGCTGAGGACTTGAGTTCATTTCTGCTGTACCTGTAATATTCTGATCATAAATTAGATAATTTAATTCCATTTTTATAAACATGTCACTTCTGCATTCCACCAAAAGAGGGGAGAAATGCTTAAAATAACCAATAATTTTTATTTCTAGATAAAGAGAAAGTAAACAAAGTATAAAGCATTATATCTTTGTTACTTGATAGGACATAAATGTCTACAAAATGTAAACTGCCCCAGCAAGCTTCCACTACAGGGCACTCAAGTTAAAGGGAAACAACATATAAACTCCTTGGGTCCAGGAGGGAATGCATTATGAGTTGAATTAGACTATTTCCATAAAGACTGACACCACTGTGTTGAAAGCTGTACTTCCATAGTCCTTTAGAGAAGTCTCAAGTATTCAGAGACACTGAAACATGGAGAGTGGAACTAAGTATGATTTTTATTATGTTCTCTTTCTCTGTGAACCATATCTTCATTTTAAGAAAAAAAATCAGGAAGAATTCCAAAATCGCAGTGGAGTGAATGGAAGCTACACTGACCATCTCTCAGGACCAAACTGGAATTACAATAAATATAAAGACAAATCATCAGGAAAAAGCAACAGAAAATAAGCTTGTGAGGACCATATAACCAGGGACACTGAATCGATCTTGCTGGGGTTGCGAAGGTGTGAGAGGGGGGCAGGAAGCACATGAACAGCAATGGTCTTAGTTGTGAGCAGTGCCCTTGAAGTTAAACTCCCAAGCCCACTCCACAGCAGAGAGAGCCAAGACAGAGCACTAAAATAGCCACAGCCACTCACAATGGGCTACAGCAGAGGGAGGGAGGACTGGACTAGGGAGAACTATGTGGGAACAATTAGGATTGAGAGGGCACTCAGAACTTTTGCTGAGTTGCGGCCATGCAGGACGATGTCCATCTTACTTAATTTCAGGGCTCTGGGGAGAAGCAGAGGCCCCTCCCTTGGATATTCAACCCCACCCAGGTGGGCCATTAAAATGCAAATTGAGTCTCATTGAGAACCAACATTTTCCTACCCTCTGGAAATCCCCTTACCCTGAACACATGAGGGAGTTTTTCTTTCTTTCTTTCTTTCTTTCTTTCTTTCTTTCTTTCTTTCTTTTTTTTATCCTCACCCGAGGACATTTTTCCATTTTTTGTTCAGATAGAGCGGGAGGGAGAGAGAGGAAGAGAGAGAGAGAGAAACATCGATGTGAAGGGACACATCGAGTGGCTGCCACCCGCGCGACCAACCAGGGCCGGGGACAAACTGCAACCGAAGTACATGCCCTTAGCGGGAACCGAACCCGGGTCTCTCTACACTGCAGGCCAACGCTCCAACCGCTGAGCCAAACCGGCCAGGGCGAGGGAGTTTTTCATTGAACAGAGATCCCAAGGCTCTTCAAGTAACCACAACTAATAGCCTCCAGGCAAAAAAACTAGAGGATAACTGAACAAATTCTAGGTTTGAAAATCTGCACAGGAAAGTAAGACTTGACAGTGGTGTTGAATGTGGGTCTTCCCACGCTCATCCAAACCCAGTAGAGGGGGCCATAAACAGCAGAACACCAACACACACAGGGAAAATTTGGTAGGCCTGAAAACCCACAGCAACAACCAAAATGGTGAAACAAAAAAACAAATCCCAAATGAAAGAACAAAAGACCTCTACTGAAGATGAGATAAATGAAATACACTTAAGGAAATTAACAGAGCTAGAATTCAGAGCCATAATCTTGAGGAAGCTCAAGATTTGATGAGTAAGGACATCAACAAAAAGAGTAAAGACATAGAAACATTGAAATTCAACCAATTAGAAATGAAAAACTACTGAGAAGAAATGAAGAATGACATGGCAGAAATAAAGAACACATTGGAAGGACTAAACAGCAGAGTAGAGGAAGCCGAGGACAAGATCAGTGAATTAGACGACAGGGTAGAAAAAAGTAAGCCAATCAGAAAACCAAAAGAAAAAAACAATTAAAAAAACAAAGAAAACAAAAAACGGGAAGACAGCTTAAGAGAACTGTGGGAAAATTGAAAACATAATAATATTCGCATCACAGGAGTCCCCGAAGAAGAAGAAAATGACAAGGATTAGAGAATATATTTGAAGAAATAGTGACAGAAAACTTCCCTAATTTGGTGCAGAAAGAAGGCATTCAAGTTCAAGAAGCACAGAGAGCCTCAGGTAAGAAGAATACAAACAGGCCCACACCAAGACACATAGTAATCAAAATGTCAAAAATTAAAGACTAAGATAGTCCAAAAAACAGCAAGAGATAAGCAACAGGTTATCTACAAAGGAACATCAATAAGGCTATCAGCTGGCTTCTCAACAGAAACACTACAGGCCAGAAGGGAATGGCATGAAGTAATCAAGGTCATAAAAAACAAGGATCTGAATCCAAGATTACTCTACCCAACAAGGCTACCATTCAAAACAGAATGTCAAATAAAGAGCTTCCCAGACAAAAAACAAAAAAGAGGCGAAAAGAATGCATTAGCACCAAACCAGCACTGCTAGAAATGTTAACAGGATTGCTATAATTAGTAGAAGAAACAGGAAGAACAATATAACCACAATAAACAAAAATGGCAACAAATATCTACATATCAATAATCACCTTACATGTAAATAAATTGAATGCTCCAATCAAGACACAGAGTAGCTGATTGGATGAGAAAGCATGACTTATATATATATGTCGTTTACAAGAGATCCACCTCACAACAAAAGACTTACATAGGTTGAAAGTGAAGGGATAAAATAAATCTTCCAAGCAAATGGAAAGGAAAAAAACTGGGCTAGCAATACTCAAATCTGATAAAATAGATTTCAAAATGAAGGCCATAACTAGAGACCAAAAAGGCCAATATATAATATTGAAAGGATCTATTCAACAGGATGATATAACCTTGGTAAACATATATGCATCTAAAATAGGAGCACCAAAATATATTAAAAATCTTCTGGAGGATTTCAAAGGAGAAATTAACAGCAATACAATCATAGCAGGAGACTTCAACACCCCGCTGACATCACTGACTAGAACCTCTACACAAAAAAATTAGAAAGAAAACAGACACTCTAAATGAAGCACTAGACCACATGGATTTAATACATGTCTACAGAGAATTACACCCCAACTACAGAATTCACATTCTTTTCAAGTGCACATGGGACATTCTCAAACACAGACCACATGTTAGGAACAAAACTAAGTTTCTACAAGTTCAAGAAGATTGAAATCATATCAAGCATATTCTCAGATCACAATGGCATGCAACTAGAAATCAATTGAACAAGAATATTCAAAGACATTTGAACACATGGAGGCTAAATAGCATGTTATTGAACAATGAATGGGTTACCGAGGAGATCAAGGAGATTATTAATATCTTTCTAGAAACCAAGGAAATTGAACACACAACAACACAACAGCTATAAAATGCAGCAAAAACAGTTCTGAGAATGAAGTTCATAGCACTACAGGCCTACCTCAAGAAACAAGAAACATTTCTAAGGGACTATCTAACCTCACAACTTAAAGAACTGGAAAACAAACAAAAAGAAACCTCCACAATAAGTAGAAGGAAGGAAATAGTAAAGATCAGAGCAGAAATAAATGCCATAGAGACCAAACAACAATTCAAAGGATCAATGAAACAAAGAGCTGGTTTTTTGAAAAGATAAACAAGATTGATGGACACTTAGTTAGATTCACCAAGAGACAAATGGAGAGAATCTAAATATACAAAATCAGAAATGAAAGTGGAGAAGTAACAACTGACACCACAGAAATACAAAGGATCATTAACAAATACTATGAACAATTATATGGCAAAATGAACAAATTGCTAGAAACACATAGTTTCTGGGAAGAGATAGAATACTTGAACAGACCAACTAAGAGAATTGAAGAGGTAATCAGGACTCTTCCAACAAACAAAAGCTCAGGCCCAGATGGCTTCACCGGGGAGTCTTACCGAAGATTCAAATAAGTACTAATACCCATTTTCCTCAAACTATTCCAAAAATTTCAAGAAGGAAAACCTCCAAACTCATTTTATTAGGCCAGCATAATTCTAATTTTAAATCCAGCAAAAGGCACAACAAAGAAAGAAAACTTTAGGCCAATATCCCTGATGACCATAGATGCCAAAATCCTAAACAAAATAATAGCAAATCAGATTCAGCAATACATCAAAAAAAAAAATTATTCACCATTATCAAGTGGCATTTATCCCAAGGATGCAAGACTGGTACAATATTTGCAAATCAGTAAATGTGATACACCACACAAAATGAAGAAAAGCCATGTGATCATATCAAGAGACACTGAAAAAGCATTTGACAAAATCCAGCATCCATTTCTGATCAAAATGCTCAGCAATCTGAGAATAGAGGTGTCATATCTCAACATAATAGAGGCCATATATGAAAGCCCTACAGCCAACATCACATTCAACGGGAAAAAAGCTAAAAGCATTTTCCTTAAGAACAGGAACAAGACAAGGATGCCCACTTTTGCCACTCTTATTTAACATAGTACTGGAAGTCTTAGCCACAGCAACCAGACATGAATAAAAAAACAAAAGTGATCCAAATTGGAAAGGAGAAAGTGAAACTGTCATTGTTCGCAGATGACATGATACTGTATGTAGAAAACCCTAAAGACTCCGTCAAAAATCTACTAGACTTAATAAATGAATTTGGCAAAGTAGCAGGATACAAAATTAATGTCAAGAAATCGACAGCATTCTTATACACCAATGATGAACTCACAGAAAGAGAAACTAAAAAAAAACGATCCCATTTACCATCATGGATAAACCATTAAGATACCTAGAAATAAACTTAACCAAAGAAGTAAAGGGCCTATTTACAGAAAACTACAGGACATTAAAAAAATAGAAGATATAAAAAAGTGGTAGCACATACCTTGTTCATGG